CAAACCCAACATGCAACTTCTTCTGCTTCCAAAAGTGGGACTTAACCCCCCCCAAATCTGTCAGCTGTGGGAAGTGGGCGAAAGTCCCCTTTATTTTAGGTGTAATTCAAACTTCTCCCTTCTGAATGAAGCCGAATTATGAACCAACTTGATAGAAACAGAAGGTTAATATAGCCTTGCAGATATTTATATATGGAAACGGATCAAACTAAGTTCATTTCAACACCAATGCTGTGTAATTGTGATGTTCTGAGACCTTACTAAGAAATACTTTGCCGTATCTTCCATGCTGCAAGGGAACATAATTCTAAATATATGTACAACAGTCGCAGAGCGTTCCCATCAGTTTGGAGATCCAAGTATACAAGAAGAAATTGAGAAATGCTGAATGTTTCTGCTGGAGAGAAATATTTAATGCGACAGATATTTCCTTCTCAAAATAGGTACACGTGTATTAGTGTGCATGCTGCTGTGAAATAGTCACTTCCATTGCTAGTAAGATTAAGTTAAAGAGTTATATTTCCAAAGGAGCCTCTACAGTAGTATGGTATATATCAATTACAGTATGCCACACCTAAAAAGTCTCCCAAGAGATACCGCAACAGACATCAGAACTCACAGCCTGGGGCTATTTAACAGGTCAGGTTTTCAATACAAAAGTGCTAATATCACAGGTCCAATATGAGTGGCTTTTAGATCCAACGTTCTGTACATACATTACAGAAATTCTGTCCTTCTGGGTTTTTTTTTCACTGCTTCACAAGCTTGAGAGACTTTAAATCACTTCCCATTCATCTTCAAAATCATCAGGGTGAAGAAGAACAGAAGTGTCACTATTCTTCTGCAAACTGTGGGAATGGCTAAAGGTCTTGGTGAGGCGCTGGAGAAGTGATCCTGAAGCACTGATCGCCCACAGTTCATCTACAGGGGTCACTGCAAAGCAGAAATGAGCCATCTTTTCATTAAGGCAGCAGGTTCCAATAATAAACATTAAATAAATAATACTGGGATCTATTTTCCTAATTATAGAATCACAGAGTCATTAAGGTTGGAAGAGACCTCCAAGATCATCCAGTCCAACCTCAACCCAACCCCACCATGGCCATAAACCATGTCCCCAAGTGCCACATCCACACGGTTTGTGAACCCCTGCAGGGATGGGGACTCCACCACTGCCCTGGGAAGCCCCTGCCAGTGCTTGGCCACTCTTTCAGTGAAGAAATTTTCCCCATATCCAACCTCACCCTGCCCTGGCACAACTTGAGGCCATTTCCTCTCATCCCATTGCTTGTTCCTTGAGAGCAGAGCCTGACCCCCACTCTCTACCCCCTCCTTTCAGGAGCTGCAGAGGGGATAAGGTCTCCCCTCACCTCCTCTTCTCCACTTGAACCCCCCAGCTCCCTCATTGCTCCCCAGCATTCGGCTGCTCCAGACCCCTCCCCAGCTCCGTTGCCCTTCTCTGCCCATGCTCCAGCCCCTCAATGTCCTTCTGGGAGTGAGGGGCCCAAAACTGACCCCAGGATTTGAGGTTTGGCCTCAGCAGTGCCCAGCACAGGGGATGATCCCTGCCCTGCTCCTGCTGCCCACACCAGTGCTGGGACAGCCCAGGATGGCGTTGGCCTTCTTGGCCTTACACGCAGAGGAGGTTTTCCTAATGTGATAAAATCACCCTTGGTGAAACTCTCAAAGCATTCAGAGTGAGCAGCTCTCCCTGGCCATGGTCAGCTCAAGCACCATCAGGCAGAAGTCCAATCAGGCACCACAACTTTCCAACTCTCAGGCAAAACCCACTTGCCTGTTAAACGCGAGACGTTTCCAGGGATCTTCTTCCAGTAGTCTCCTGCCGGGTTCTTGTCCGTAATGCCGTACCGACGAGCGACGTCTCCATTTGGACAGCGTGCCCAAACAGTCCTTGTACTTATAGCCAGCTGACAGGCCTGCAAACCTGGAGACAATGGGACGTAAAGAGGAAATTATCACAGGCTTCCTTAGATACTAAATACACTTGCAGAGAAGTCTATTAAGAGAAGACGGCAAGACTATCAACAGCTTTTATATATTCTTATATTAATACTAGAGAAGAACTCTCCATTATAAAAGGCACAAAGAAATACTTAGTTATTACTTTAGTTGGTCTCAAACCAGTTAATGTTATAGACATCATGGACTTTTAGTTTCTCCCTCTTCACAAGCAAGCAAGTACTCCACAACTAAGCGCCATGTCTTTAAGCAATGAAAAATCTTTAAAAAGCATCACAGCATCAATGCACTCTTATTTAGAAAGACACAAATGAAATTCAGCTTTATTTACAGCAAGGCAAAAATTTAATGACCTAATCAAGGGTTAATGCAGGGCTAATAGAAAGATGTGGCATTAGGATTTTGTTAGCCACATCTGTATAAGATGTATCACATGTTCAGGGGATAGAACAAGGGGAAACAGCACCAAGCTGTGCCAAGGGAGGTTCAGGTCAGAGATAAGGAGGAAGTTCTGTACTGAGAGGGTCGTCAGAAGCTGGCACAGGCTGCCCAGGGAGGTGGTGGAGTCACCATCCCTGGATGTGTTTAAAGAGCGGGTAGATGAGGTACTTAAGGATATGGTTTAGTGGGTAGACAGGAGCGGTTGGACGTGATGATCTCAGAGGGCTTTTCCAACCGAGCCATTCTGTGATTCGGTGATATATCATGTTGTGATATACCATGTTGTGATATACCATGCTGCGATATACCATGTTGCATCGCATTGAAATACAGAACTTCTCACGGCACAATCGTCTCCTATTAGGAACAGTGCTTTAGTTTTAACTGAAAGGGAGCTGTGCCATTTATTAATTCAGTGGCAGCAGCCTGAAATAACACACAAGAGAAATTCACTAAAAAAAAAAAACCAGATCAGGGACCTAAACCAAGGTCCTCTTTAAGAGATAACCCTTATCAAATACCTCACTACGTTCCTATAAATAAGCACGTTTGATTGCTGAGCAAAATATCTGATTTAACCATCGCTACCCAATTTAAAAAGCAACAGGGAAAAAAAGAGCAAATACAAAAAACACCCCAGCATTGAGAGAATGACAGAAAGATGAAGGAAGGGACGCATTGGTTTTACCTGGTACATGTTCCCAGTCGGTGCCCACAGGCATTTCCTCCGTAATTCCCACTCGGACGTGGACGTTCCATTTGCTATCGATCGCCCACAGCATCTGATCGTTTGGACTCGACTGAACGCTGACCAAGTTGATTCCTACTGGCTGTAAAAATTAAGCACAGTATTTAAACTTCGTACCACTGTGTCTTTGTACTGCTGTATCGCTTGTTCTTCATGGAAAAGAAGTAAAATAGTTACCAGGTAGTAAAGACAGGCAGAAATTTAACTGATATTTCATTTGTAATCGCGCAAAATGATCAATTTTCAAAAAAGCCAATCCCTTCCTAAATAGAAAAGGAAGATGAACGTCAACCTAAGTTACTGAAAAAGATATTAATACTTAACATCATCCAAGTCTAATAATATTGGTGTTTGTTTAACCACTGTCATTCCAATCAGGCGCAGTTTCAATCACAAGTTGAAGAGGGAACTCTCCCACTGAAAAGCACAAAATGCAGTATTTTCCTCTTGCCTTCCTGAAAGTCTTCCTGACATAACTAACTTTGCAGTTTATTTCTGAACATACACAAGCAGCGCATTTTTACACTCTGAATGCCTCCCCATTGCAACACAGGGGTGATCTGCCTTCTTCCCTGTACCACTGCAGTACCGGAGCAGCCGCGCCTGCTGCCTACTTTAAATAAAACACAGATAATGACAAGAAAAAACAAGTTTTTCTCCACATCAGCCTGATAAGGTCACTGAAGACGACTGTAAGATGCCCTGAAATATGTCGTCACTGTATAGGCATCACCTCATAGGCATACGCTGAATTTCCAGTGTGATAAACACAAAAGCAAGCAGCAATTCCCATGTAGAAACCTCAAATACAGAAGCATCACCTGTGTGTGTACGAGCACACAACCCAGTCCCCACTGACTTTCTGTGTACATAACAGTTACCTGCTTGGCTTTGGCTTTTCATATTCTGGTGCTAACGTGTCCGACTCAGCTATAACCAAATCCAGCTTGCACCACCACACCAACCCTGTCCATTCAAGCTGCAAGGCCTTTAGAGCTGATTTTCTCAGGTTTGTGCTCTCATTTGGTACTTGCCCTCCGTGGGAAGCCTGAGGCTGGCAGAGGTTTGATGAGGTGTTTAGCTCTGGTCACAGTAAATTCACAGTGGCTGCAGCTTGAACACTTAAAATAAAACACTAATATTCTCAAAG